GACATAAATTATATAAAAAATTGTACAAATGTTTTATATATCTAAACACTTTTGGCTATACTTTTAGCTATTAACAAGGATGAATTTTATTTTACTTTTAACTGAATATATGGATTGTTTTATGCATGTATATATAGTTATAGGAATGTTTTATTTTCCAAATGCAGTCAGCACATCGTGGTTGTGTTCATAGTTGATATTCTTGAGTGCTGGCCTTTTCTTTTTTCATTAATAATGCTTCTATTATTTTTAACCTTTTTTTTACATGTGGATGAGGCTATTATATTTAAATTATCAACAAGTATTTTACAGATAGAGTTTGGTTGGTCTCCATGTGTATTTAAATGAGACCTAATTGAGCTATCGTTAGTGAGATGTAATGTGAGTCTTCTTGTTAAGTATGTTGTAGTATCCAATATAATTATTAATGAATTTGGATTGAATTTTAACAAAACTTGCAAAATTACAGCCTGTCTGAAGTTATTATACAAATCAAATAAACCTCAATAACTCAAAAAGTTCTGAACGAATATTTGTCAAATTTAAACTCCTCCATTTTCACCCTTAGTAAAATATTTAACTAAATTTTCTGCCATTTTTAACAGTTTTTGAGATATTTGAAATTTACGAAAATGGACTGACTGAAGTTATTATGCAGATTAAACTAATATTAGCTTAAGACCTCTGAAATCTAATAAAAACTATTTTTTTCTTTTAGTCCTTAATAAATGTTGAAACACGGGTAAAGGTAAGTTCTAACATTGGCTGAAAAACAGGAAATAAAGTTTTTGAGCAAGGGAATGTTGACATTAAAGATATCAAAGAAATTTTGCAGAGATCATTAAACGATAAAGAAGGCTGTTGAAAATGTAAGTTTAGAACTCAAAGCAAAAGAAAAGACTTTAAGAACTTGCTTCCTTGAGATGAACTTAAACTAAAGTGAGTTATAGTGAAACAACCATTTTGGCCAGCACTCAGATCTTTGAAAAGGCTGGAATTGAGGGAGTCAAGAAGGACAAAAGGTGTAGAATACTTTGTGAATTGGGATCTGTAAAAAAAAAATCTCCAAGACAACCTCCAATTTCTAAAGCAAATATTTTAAAGTGTCAAAATTGGACCAAGAAGTACATGAAAACTGTCTTTTCTAAGGTAATTTTCACAGGTGGATCTTGAATGACATTTGATGGACCTGATGGATGGGCCAAAAGATGGATTTTAATTCAGATGTACCTGTGGCTAAAAGAAGGCAACAAGGAAGCAGTAGTGTTATGATATGGGCTGGAATTGTTGACCAAACCATTATCGAACCTTTCAAAGTCAATGAAGCAGTTAAACTGAACAGTGCTAACTACTGCAATTTTATGAACAAGACTTTCTTTGCATGGTACAAGTCTCAGTCCTGCAGTTTCAAAGTAAAGCGTGTATTTATGCACGATAATGCTCCTTCTCATGTATCTAAGTTTACCCAGGGATTCTTTAAGCATAAAAGATTTACAGGAGAGAAGATTATAGAATGGCCACAATTAAGTCCTGAGCTGAATCCAATTGAAAATCTATGGTCAATTGTGAAGAAGAATTTATATGAAGATAGCAAACAATATAACAGCAAAGCAGACCTATGGGAAGCAGTTAAAACTACCATGTTGGAAATTGAATCTACTGACATAAAAATATTAACAATATCAGTGGCTAATAGATTACTGGCTGTCATTGAGAAGAAGGGTCACAATATTAAAATGTAAAGGATTCAAAGAATGCATTTGTTATTAGTTCTATTATATGTGTTTATCAAATTTTGATGATTTTATTAACTTTTTATTAGAGTAAAATGTAATTATTTGGTTTTACCAATTAACTTCAGACAGCAGTTTTTAGAAGACATCAAGTAACTTCAATAAAACATTGATACTACCTAAAATTTTAAATCAGGCTGTGTTTTAACATTTAAATTGATTGTATAAAATTTGACAATTTAGTTTAAAACCAAATTTGTATTACTGAAGTTTATAGAATTTGCTTAATATCTTCAGGCAGTGTGTGCATGCTTATGTGTGTGTGTGTGTGTGTATATATATATATACACACTACCCGTCAAAAGTGTAAATTTTAATTTCATTGTTCGTTTCACCTTTTGAAAGTGATGTCTGAGGATCCAGGGAAAATTAAAAGTTCCTGGTGAATTAAACTATTACAATGGTGCCTTAAAGTGGTCTGTTTTTCATTAAATTATTCGCTCTGAATTAACATTGAGCTCTCATGATTACATCCTCCTTGGGATTATCCATAGGGACTACCAACATTTTCAGTACTTAACTATATATATATATATATTTTAAGACATTTTTTATGTTTATACGTTCTTTTTATAGATACAAATATTTAAGTAAATGCTCTGTTTATAATAAACAGTATTAACAACATTTACCGGCCTGAATGTCCGAGAAATTTTCATAGAAAATATGCGTCCAGAACTGTCATATAGCCTGATATGCTTTTACCGATTGAGCCACAGAGGAGCGTGTTTCGGTTATATTTACAGAGCATTAATATTATAAATTAATTGATTTAAAATATGGTTTTTTCGCGAAAAAAACATATTTTAAATCAATTAATTCATATATATATATATATATATATATATATATATATATATATATATATATACTATTATTAGGATAATTTAATGATAAAATGGGAAAATATTATGTGAAAGATGAAATGTATAATGTAAAATTTTTTCCCATTTCAACATTAACCTTTAACACTCTGCATTATTAATAATACTTCCCTTTCCATTGCATTCTTTTTCAAGGCCTATCAATTGCAGTATCCTTATTGTTAATTTCCCTTAAAGTTGTTTTCTATTGGCATAGCAGGATATGACAACACAACTACAAAATTCAAACAAATTTAAATTCAGGGATCAGAGTCATCTTCAAGTGCAGGATAAACTTTAGTACAGCAAATGAAGGGACATAGAGAGTGATAAAGGTCAGACTACCCACCCACAACACCATACACACACATGTTTGGTTGATTGATATCGACAAATTCTGTCTACCCAATTTTTTATTAACTTTATCAAATTTCCAAATTGTTTTATATAGTTGTAAACTTATTAAAGTTCATTTTTATTTTTTCTCTTCCAAATACTTTTGAATATTGCTACAATCCTTTTCAAAACAAATTTTCCTTGAAAACAAATGTAGCAACATTTGAAAGCACTCAGTGGGGTGGGGGAAATAAAGGTGAATTTTACTGATTATATAAAACAGCTAATTCAAAAAAATTAATAAAAACTGGATAAACAGAACTTGTCAATATTATTAAACCAAACATCTTTGAAAGAATTCTTGCTACCTAAATACATACACACATTTTTTATATATATATATATATATATATATATATATATATATATATATATGAGAGTGCGTGGCTGAGTCACTTTTTGAGCATGTGACCCAGGTCTGAATGTCACTGTGGTCAATTTGGGTGGAAGGTAACTTGATGTTATTGGTCTTGGAAGAAAATCCCAACATTTTTTTTGTCTGTTTGTTTGAGTTATTTGAATTTGGGGTGTCGGTGACAAAAAAAAAGCAGGCAAAATATGTCAAAAAAAAAAGAAAAAAAAAAAAAAAAATGTAACTTTCACTGAATTTTGTGTTGCATATAATTCATTTAATGTAAGTCATTTTTGAAAAAAGTGTCAAGTTAAATCTGCCACTTATAATGTTACTTTCAACAAGATGCAAATGACTTTCCTTGCAAAAAAAAAAAAAAAAGCAGAAAAAGCAACTAACTTTAGAAAGTGTTGGCAAATCATACCAGCCCTTGTGATTGAACATGAGTAGACAGAATTTTTTGGAAGTCAGTGATTTAATTTAAATTTAAGCCAATGATATTTGCATAGTAGCTTTTAAGAATGTAGATTTATATTTAAATATTAAATTTCTTAAACCAAATTTTTTGACTATGCTTTATAAACATATGCATTAAAACATCTTAATAATAATAATACATTAATAATTATTCTTCCACATGATTTATGATGAATAAAATTAACCATTTTGGTGTTTTTCAAATTGAAAGAATGATCTATATACAGGATATAGGAGAATAAAGAATTTAAAGTATCCCTGGTTTTTATAGCTCTTTTGTGTTCAGAGCAAGGTGATCCTTAAGGACTGCCACTAGCATCTCTGTCCCATCCATTCACTGTTGAAACAGTTAAATGTAGCTGTTTCTTCTACTCCAATAGCTTCATATCTCACACTTCCCATCTGTGGAACTCCCTTCCTCTTACTTGCTTCCCTGATAGCTATGATCTCCAATTATTCAAATGCAATGTCCATCGACATCTTAAGGATCACCTTGGTTCAGAGATTTAAAAAATTTATTTGGTCAATTTGACAAAATTGCAAGAGAATATAAGCATAAATTCTTATTTATTCAAAAGACCATTATCAGAACACTTCCAACAATGAGCATTAAGCTGAACTTGTGTTGTCATTTGTACTCTGGAGGCACCCATCATCTGACAATCGATCACGCAACTTAACCTTTCCAGATAGGATAAAACGAGACACATTGATCCCTAAGGAAGATCTTTTAGGTGCTATGACAGATAGGGAATACTGGAAAGGTGTAGTGAGTTCAATCTCGGCTGAGGCCGCAAAATGATGATGATGATGAAGCTGTTTGAGCAGCTCAGTTAGAAAGCTTGTATTCTTATAGGTCACTAATACAGAAAAAAATAAGTGACATTAAATCAGGACTTGAAATAGGCTGTATTGCTTACCTATAGTCATATCGTCAGCCATAGGAGGAATGTATACACCAGTAGCATTTGGTTCAGGAAAATTTCGTTGACTGGTTGTTGGAGCAAGAGTTGTTGTTGTAGTTGTTGTTGTGGGTGTCGTTGAGGTTATTGGTGGAGAAAGGGTTTTTATAAAAAAGATTGTTGCTGACCAGTCAGTTGTGGTGGGCATTGTCATTGTCTGAAAATAAATACAGAAAGAAGTTTTTTAAAAGACACCATCTTGTGTTTGCATCAGTTTTAACCTTTTTTAAGGTAAATGGATAGGAAAAGACAGTCGGCTGATTGACTTGCTTTGATTGACAATCTTTTTTTTAAAATATACAAGAAGAAAGAAGTAATGTAGAAATACACAAGAAATACAGAACATTCTTAAATTGCAGGATAAATTAACAATCTTCCCATGCATAAAATTAGAATCAATATATAAGGGGTGCTGAAAAGTATTTGGACTGATCAAAAAATCCAGAGACAGATATGCAATGTGGTTGGCCCTGATCTGGCATCTCGTTTACAGTCGCTCTCTCACAGACATGTCATCGCCTCCCTCTGTTTTTTTCTACAGTCGCTCTCTCACAGACATGTCATCGCCTCCCTCTGTTTTTGTCTACAAATACTTTCACAGTAACTGCTCCGACAAGCTATTTTTGCTAGTTCCCAAACTACATTAATTCAAACGAGCCACTAGGTCGGCATCTCAGTCCCATCCGTTCACTGTTGAAACAGTTAAATGTAGCCATCTCTTCTACTCCAATAGCTTCATGTCTCACACTTCCCATCTGTGGAACTCCCTTCCTTTTATTTGCTTCCCTGATAGCTATAATCTCCAACTATTCAAATGCAATGTCAATCGACATCTCCTTGATCTATTCCCTATCCTTCTCTTCATCCTTTCCTCTATCACACCTCCTTACTCTTGCTCCCACTCTCTATAACCCCTTGCGTTCTAGTGGCACTAAAAAAAAAAAAAGAAACAATTTGAAAAATAATTCTAATGCATAGTCATTTCATCAGTTCATAGATTATTATTGGAATTAGAACTTGAAAAAAACAAAAAAAAACATTATTCCATTCAGACTAATATCCTGATCTTTGTTGTTGTTATCACATTTTGCCCGTTGTGCCCTTCAACCTTCTTCAGGTGTCTTTTAATCCAGGTAACTTTCTTGAAATCTTGAGTTGAACCCTTTATTTAATCTATGGGAGTAGATTATTCTTATTCCACTGACCATATATAGGGCGATCTCTTGTTTATAGTACTGTTCAATTATATCTTGACCTGTTTTCACTGAGTCTAACTTCGTACTGCACAACAGCTGAAACATTGTGATAATAACAATAAAAATGAGGACTTTAGTCTGAATGTAAGTAAAGTAAATAATACTTCCTCATCCAAGAAATTCAGAAAGAAATTAACAAAGAACACTATCAATCTTTCTAAAAAAAAAAAAAAACTCTTTCTAAAAATCAAAATATCTAAATTTTTAGTCCACCAAATCTTCAAATTCAGTGAAGAAACAAAGTCAATTTTTATATTAACTTATTTTCAGTCAAAAAATTATTTTTATTAGATGAAACATTATCGACAATTATTAATCTTGACTAGAAGTTATTTTCAGCTTTAATTTTTAATAGAATAATAAAAATAATCAAGATCAGAATATAAGACAAAACTTTTGAGAAACCAACTGAAATGATTAACAGCTGAACATAAATGAGAGTTTAACTAACAAAACAACCCTAATTTCTAGACACAGATGGAATAAATGAAAACTAAAAAATATAATGCATTTCCATAAGTTTCATTAATTCTATTTTCTCTTTACATATCACTAGTGAATTTGATCTGTTATTGCCCAGGCAGGTCATATAGTTATGGGAGAGGGGTTTGCCTCAGTGCTTACTCACCCACTTTTTTCTATCAGTCCCTGTGGTATAGTAGTGACAAGACATTTTGCCAAGATATCTAACAAGGGACCAGAATACAGGCAGATGTGGGTTCATGCCTTCAAGAATTAGTAATACAAGTAGAGTCAACTGGAATTAGATTCAATATTTTGTATTGACAATCACTGGCAATACCAAACATCATTTGTATACACATTAATGGTGATGACATATACACATTAACTGTTGGCGGCTTTAATGATAAAAGGCTTCAAATAATATGAAAGAATGTTACTATATCCTTTACTACTATTATCATTTCAAGAAACGTGGGGTGCTGGTTACAGAAGCAGTAAAGGAACCAAACCTTTCAAGCAGTTATGTAATGAAGAAACAAAGAACAATCAGCAAGAACATTTTCATTCTCAAAAATAAAAGTTGGCTTTATCCAATATAAAAGACTTCAACATTAAACAAAATGCTCAATGCTTTATAAGCAGTGTTGGTAAAATACAGCAATTAATTTACCAACAAGTAATACATTGATTTATTACATTCAGTTCAGTTATGTGCCATGCATGATACATGCTGAGGCGATCATATATCTTTTGATACATGACTAAAAAGGCAGATTTTTTCCCGCAGTAGGTTGCTATTTCTTTCTGCGGTAGACCAGTTGCCATCCAAGGCTATAGAACCTGGTCTGTCCTGCTATATACCCATAGCCAGTGGGGAGAAAAAGAAGATTCATACCTTTCCCATGGATATTAGCATGTAAGTGAATGTAATGGTTTCAACTGAAATTCCAACTCAGCTCTCTGATTCCTCAATCTGAGCCGCTCCCCATCACTCCACCGTGCCTGCTTTATTACATTAAAACTTATAAAACTGTAGCTTAAATGAGTTTCTATTACTCAGATGTCACTCATACAATTCAAGATGCCACTGGTTCAATCCATCATTCTTGCTTTCTGCACACATCAAAACATAAATCTGTCTTTTCTCCCGTTCTCATTGCTTCGGCTCTCTTGTATCAGGCAAACAGTGCAGTCGACCAACCAATCAGCGTTGTTCTCTTTTATTTTCAGTTACCCAGGTAAATAGCCACCTCCAGTTCAACCAATCAGCACACGACTTGCTATTGGTTGAAGCATGCTAAACTGTACAAAAACCCTTGTTACCGTACATACTGCTGGAATGGCTAGACAGGAGAGTAATGCCATTTTTAAGGAGCAAACTTGTTGATGCCATGTGCTGCACGTTGAGGTAAGACGCTTATTTCCCTTTGCACCAGATACAAGCCACTCTGGCTCGCTTGCTTCTATGGGACTGTTCACCACAAAAACACATACACACACAGAGTGTTATATAAGCAAACAGCTATAGGAACTAATAACTGCATCTTATTCCTCTTTTCATATCTTCTATATAAGATTAATTAAAATGGAACTACTAATATCAATTAAAATTAATCAAAATGGAACTACTAATATCAATTAAAATTAATCAAAATGGAACTACTAAAATTAATTAAAATGGAACTACTAAAATCAATCAAAATTAATTAAAATGGAACTCCTAAAATTAATTAAAATTAATTAAAATGGAATTACTAATATCAATTAAAATTAATTAAAATGGAACTACTAATATCAATTAAAATTAATTAAAATGGAACTACTAAAATCAATCAAAATTAATTAAAATGGAACTACTAAAATTAATTAAAATGGAACTACTAAAATCAATAAAAACAGAACTAATAAAAGATGCATAGACAAAAATAATTATTGCAATCATTTTTTCTTATTCTATTAATTATTTAGAAAAGGACATTTATCTATTTTGTTTTGATGAGAACATTTTTACTTGTGGACTCTCCAGCCTTTTCTATTTTCATTTTTGATTGGATAATCTTCTAGGAGCTTTCAATGGATTCACTTATCATATTCAAAATTATTTTTCACTTTTTAACTGATAAACTGTGACAGAATTTCCATCATCTGCAGCTGAGCATAGAACCACTCTCACCTGTACAGGTAAAGGGGTCAATTTTCTAATTTTTACCTTTCTAATTTGAATAATTCTCATGGTCTGAGTAATGATGGTTCTTTGTATACTTGAGAAAAAAGAAAGAAATTTAAGGTATAACAAGAATATTAGCCAAATTTAGAAAAGTTAGAAACAAATTGTAAACAAGATAATAGATTTTGCCGACATTTCTTTGAAGATAATTGGAAGTAGCACATAATAATCGAGATTACAATGATGAGGATTCTTGTCTGATAATTCCAGAAATAATAACAGTACTGCATTTCAGAACAATATAAGAGAACCAAACAAACTGAAAAGTAGTGATCAAAACAACTAAGAGAAGGATACTAGAATGAATATTTCATGGAAGAGATGTAATATTTTGTCTGAGAATTTTCAAAGACACTTGGAAGACTGGAGAACAAATTACCTAAAATGTAGTAATCAAAACAGAGCTGAGGATATTACAAGGGTGTGCTGAAAAGTTCTCAACCCAAACCAAGAAGCCCCTCATATAAAGACAAATTTATATATATATATATATATATATATATATATATATATATATATATATAATATAAATAAAATGGTATATTTGGTAATCTGTATGGATAATTCTAAAGAGAAATACAGATCCAGAAAGAGCTCAATGTAATAACAGAGCAAATAATAATAATTATGGAAACAGAAACTTTAAAAGTTCATGGTAATATTTTATTTCATTAAAACCTATACTTCGATTTTAACTCATCAGACCAAACATTTTCACAAAAATAAATGGGCAAAAATTTTACCAAGCACAAAAAAATTTAACTGGAAATGATTTATGCTTAAATATGTTTAAACATAAATTATTTTCAGTTAAATGTTTTTGTGTCTGGTAAAATTTTTCTCCATTTATTTTTGTGAAAATGTTTGGTCTGATGAGTTAAAAACCATAGTATCAGTTTTAATGAAATAGAATATTACCATGATCTTTTAAAGTCTGTTTTCATAATTATTATATTATATATATATATATATATATATATATATATATATATATTATGAAATGGACAAAGTCCGACAATTATTTTAAAATATTGTTTATGTTTATACATTCTTTTTATAGATACAAATATTTAAGTAAATGCTCTGTTTTATAATAAGGCCGGTAAATGTTGTTAATACTGCTTATTATAAACAAAGCATTTACTTAAATATTTGTATCTAAAAAAGAATGTATAAACATAAAAAATGGCTTAATATATATATATATAT